AGTAGCACGTAAGATGCTCCTACCCACCACGATCACTCGCATCGTACATGCGGGTTTACTGTTCCATACCCCAGATGCACTCTGATCTTGGCGCTTCGTGTAAAGATACTCACAGCTAATGGAATTTCCGTCGTCATAAAACCCGTGCTGAGACGTAGAGAATTTATTAATACACTATCTCCCCGACTGCCGCACCACAACTCGAGGAGTTTACCTCGGTTTCCTTGTAGTCCATCTCCCACACGCATTGGTCTAAGGTGAGTCTTTGAATCCTGTCGGAAATCATCGCACCGATCTGTAGGCAGTTTCGTCGTGGGTCATGCCGATGGGGCCTCTGAGTGCACAGTTCATAGACCCATTTCAAACGCATATCTCGAAAGCATCGCATCCATCATCATCCCTCAACATAGCCCCGTCAAACACAGGTAAACCCTTCTCTCCCCTCCCCCCTTGCTCGTCACGTTTGCATGTTTCCACGACACAGTTCTCATCGTGCCCTCTGCCCTCCCCCCCTGTGGTGTTGTCGTCATGGAAGATGGGGGGGGGGGGCAGCACCTGGGAAGATCTCCTCCACCCGTGTGCTTCTGTCGAAACCCAAGGGCAAGGCTTGCGTCTTGTTCTTCTCTTTCTCTCCCGTCCTTCCCTTGGACATCCGTCCCCTGTCTCGTCAGGTCGATCAACCACGTCCCCCATCAGTCCCATCCGTCCCATCTTGGGGGTTGCCCCCGACCCTTGTCGAGCTCGTCAACGCATCTGCCAAGGACGAAATAGATTAGTCTCCTCTTTTTCTCCTTCTTTGAAGCGGGAGAGGGCGAAGGATTGTCAACCACCTTGACCACCTCCACCACCACCACCACCACTACATGCGGCTGACTTACTCACAAACTCACTCCGGCCCTCCCATGCCGCATGTCATGCCATACTTTATTAGTGCGGCGTGCGCTGAGTATGCAGCCCCAAACTTAAGCAACGGCAATTGGGAAGCGGACGGAAGCCCCAAACGTCCCGTCGGCACCCCCACTGTAGCCTCCGGGATCGACACGGACACACGCGGGTTTCCGTCTCAGAAAAGAGGGAAAGGCGGCTCGGCTCTCATGGCTACAGATGACTCGTTTGCGGGAGGCCTCTACCTAGTCATATTGCAAACCAAACATCCCGGAGTCACACTTACACACACACACACACACACACACACCTAGCTTGCGGTGGAAAACTTGGCACCTTGGGTCGGAAACCCCATCGAGGTGTTCCATCTCATCCCATCCCTCCCCAAATTCAAGTCCAAGGGGACGCGCGGAAACGAGGTTGGTTTCATCCATCAGCGACCCGAGTTGGCCTGGACGGATCGCCACAGGCCCCCCGGCCGCCGGCATGCAAATCCCGCAAGAGAAATTAAATAACAGCAAGCATTATTCGTACCGCATCCGCGCGGGCTCGACTGTGGTAGTACCAATCTTGGACGGGGCTCGCTATCTCACGGAATAGGCACAGGTCGCGCATACAATACATACAATACATACAGTATATACGTAGATTACATAGATGGTACAGGGTTACGCACATGGTACAGATCAAGCGCACATAGACGTTTCTTTAGTCGGGTCAGGAAAGGCTGCCCGCGTCCGCCGCCATCCCGGGTATGATTCGTCGCCGCTCTCCCCTATGACAGGACGCTCTCGGCCGAAAGGCTGCTGCCGGCCCCGTTGTGGTCGTCGTCGCCGGCGGGCTCGAAGTCGTCCGCCAGTCGCCCGATCAGCTGCTGGTACGACGGCCGAAAGGGCCACGCCATGAAGGCCTCGAGCAGCTCCGTCCACTGCTTCTCGTTGAGCACCCGCGCGCAAATCTCGCCGTGGCCCGTCCCCGGCAAGCCGCCCTGCGCCGGGTCCCGCAGGCTTGGGCAGTTCGGCAGCACCCCCTCGGCCGCGCCGGGCCAGATGCGCTCGACGGACCGGCTGATCGGGTCGTTGCTGGCGCTGAACATGGACCGCTGCAGCATCTCAAAGGCGTCGCCCGCCCGTGACGTGCCGGGCCCCGTCTGCCGGAGCAGCGGGTGCATCGCCTTGGGCTGGATGTCGAGCAGCGTGCACTCGGCGTTGGGGAAGAACTCGTCCGCCCGCACCGCCAGCGGCTCGTACGGCCGCCGGTCCCAGAGCAGCGCCGACGAGTTCTGCCGGAAGACGTGCAGATTGTCGCGGATGGCCCGGAAGTCGATTGAGAGGTTCTTGCCGAGCGCCCCGACTTTTTCATTCAACGCCCGGTCGCGCGCCACGAACTCGGCCTCGGCGGCCGCCTTGTCGCCGTCGCGGTCGCCGTTGTCGATGCTCTGGCGCAGCCGAGCAGTCACCTTCATCTCCTCCAGGAGGTCCCGGTGTTTCACGAGATACTCCTCGAGGCGCTCCGCCTGGTGTGACAGGAACTGGAGGCGGCTCCGCCTCTTTGAGTCGAGGGGTCCGTCGCGGGACGCCTGCTTGAGCTCCTCGATCTCGGCGAAGTACGGCCGGTGCAGGTACGGCACCTGCACGCCTGCTTGCGGCCCGTCGTAGGCGGCGGCTTCCTCCTGGAGCCGCTTCGTCATGCTATGCTTCCGGCCCTCGGGAATGACGATACCGCTCGCCTTCATCCTCGCCATCGTGTCTCGCGCGCTGTCGATGTCGATCCACCGGTCGCGCACAAACCGGGCTTCGGGCTTGATGTCGAGCATCATGTCCCGGCTGGCGACCTCGGCGAGCCACTCGCACGCAAACTCGGCGTCGAGCACCGACTTCTTGCGGCCCTGGACGGTCTTGGCCAGGAAGGTGTACTGCTCGTCGGGGCCCGTCCAGATGAGCATGCGCACGAGACCGTATTTCTGGAAGAGGTTGCCGTTGCGGATGCTGCTTATGAGCTGGTAGATGACGAGCTGCGCCACCGAGTCGAAGGTGCGGTAGCGCTTCTTCGGGTAGAAGGCCAGGTTGGCCGTCAGGAGGAGGGTGTCGTTACGCTCCGGCACGGTGGCGGGGTCACGCGGCCGCGGGGTCTGGTTCTTGATGTGACCCAGCGCCTCGTTGAGCTCCTTCCACAGGATGCCGGACTGTGGCAGCAGCTGCGTGTCGGGTCTTTGGATGAGGGGTTCGAGGAAAGGCCGGTAGAGGTCTTCGTCGGGTTCCATGAGGATGTGGGAGCGCGGTTGGAGGAAGTCATGGAGCTTGGTGCTCCAGACGCCGGCGCCGGGGTTGATGTCGACGAGGTCGCAGCCGCGATGGCGCTCGAGCGTCGGGCCAATGTATTTGATGATGTCATCTGCAGAGATGTCTCCTAGTCAGCCGGAATGCTTAGGGTTGTCTCATACCCAGGATAGTGAGTCGGAGTCGGAGTCGGAGACGAGAGGGTTAGGAAGGGGCTGGCTCTGTACGCACCGCAGAGCTCCTCGCTGACGACGTTGACGCGGGCCTTGTCGCCGCGCGGCTTCTTCACATGTTCCTTGGCCTTTCCTTTCGGTGCTTTCTTAGCGGCCTTGATTTCCTTCACTCGGTCGGCCTGTGTGGTCCATAAGCCCAATTTGGCGAGATTCTTGGCCGTTGGCGTCTTGGTCTGGAGGATATCCTTGCTCAACCGCACCGCAGCGCCGGTAGCCGCCGCCCTCGTGAGCATACGGTGTGTGAGGAGAGGTTTTTCCCACGCGTGGCGGAGAGCAATCATCTGGATAGGGTGTGTGTGTGTGAGTTTGGTGGTTGGGAGGTGCCCATAGTATGTATGGTTTGTGAAGGTCAAAATGCGCACATGGATTATTCTGCCGGAATTCACCGCTCCAGTCGACCCACTAATATCCTTATCGATAAGAGAGAGAGTGGGTGGGGCAGGTAGGTAGGTGGTCCGTTGGTTCCTGCCCGAATGAATTGAAAGTGCCGAGAGACCAAGTACCCCGGAGAAGAAAATAAGTACCCTGGAAAAGGAAAATCATACACTCTACAATACTCGGTACATAGGTATTAGACCGGCGTTGTGACATGGTCCGTTTTCAACTTCGCACGGGTATCCTCTCATCATGTTTTGAAACCAATCATGCAGGCGACATGTTCCCTCTGGACCCGTGCCAGGCCGTCATGTCCCGTGGGGCAACTCGGCCTTCGCAGATTCCTTCGGGCCGTCGGTAGTCCAGTATTGCCGTGTACTGCCCCAGGCATCATTAGGTAATCCTTGCCACGGAACGGTTCACTACCCCGCGTTCGCTTCGAGCAGCATCTGTTTAGTGATTTCGAGTCAAAGTGGTATACTCGGTACGTATGCAGGGATACGGAATATTTTGTTGACGACGGCTAATAGCCGAGATAGGAGCCGGCATGGACGACGTTCGTCTTCGTCGTCACTGGCTTTGCCGCTTCTTCCGGGACCTCTCTCGACTGTCGTTCGCATTCAAAAGTGAAGGCTTGTTCGCCCTGAGAGAGGTTGTCGGCGCCGACGGAGAAGCTACAACTCTTTTAAAAGTGCCTTGAACATCAAGCTTGGCGCAACTCGCCATGATAGCCCTCAACTTTCTGGCCTTAGCATACGGCCTGCTGGCCCTTGTGGCCATCTTCGTCGCCCGAGTGAGTTTGCTTGACTTCCTGGCATTTTGTCCCCTTGCGTCTAGTTGACCACCCCCAAGATTATCGTCACTGGAGTCACCTGTCGAGTCCGCCATGTGCCGGGACCGTGGTACACTCGCTTCTCCCACTACGTCCTCAAGCTGTCCTCCCTTACCGGTCGACGCATGTATTATGTGCATTCTCTCCACCAACGCTACGGACCCGTTGTCCGCATCTCACCGACAGAAGTCGCCGTCGCGGACCCCGAGGGCTTCGTCGCCATTCACAAGATCGGTGCAGGGTTCCTCAAGGGCCCGTGGTATGAATCCATCAACTCACCCGCCGAGCCGGGCATCTTTGCCATGGTCAATCCGAAGCAGCACGCGAAGCGTCGGAGGCTCTTTGCCAGGGCTTTCACGAGCGCGTCCCTACGCCGCAACTGGGATCTCGTCGTGCGGACCAAGGCCGAGAGAGCGGTTGAGCGGATCAAGGCCGACGCTCTCAACGGCACGGCCGACTTGGTGAAATGGTGGACGCTCATGACCACCGACGTCATCGCCCACCTCTCCTTCGGCGAGTCCTTTGACATGCTAGAGCTGGGCCAGGTGATTAGATCCCTTCGAGTGGGGGCCTGTCTCTTGAAAACGTGGACATGCTGACCAGGATTTGACTTAGAAAAACGAGTACATCGAAGCCCTGGAATCACTTTTTGTAATGACGGCGATTCGCCATGAGCTGCCGATCCTATTCCGCATGGCACGTCTGCTCCCATTCAAATCGATACGCAAGGTCTTGACCGCACAGGATACGGTGGATCGTCATGCTGCCAAGGCCATGATAAACTTGCGACGGAACGGACACTCGGCCAACCTATTTGGAAACATGCTTGCCGAGAGCGAGGTCGACGAAAAGTCGGATCTGACGGAAGACCACATCAAGTCCGAGGCGGGAAACCTCATCGTCGCAGGCTCTGACACGACGTCGGTGACCTTGACGTACTTGATCTGGGCTGTTCTGAAGAGACCCGACCTTCAAGCCAGACTTGAGGAGGAACTGGCCGGCGTCGGTGACGAGTTGAACGACGCCACCCTCGAGCGACTGCCGCTGCTCAACGCCGTCATCGACGAGACACTCCGCCTCTACGGAGCGGCCCCTGGGAACCTGCCGCGGTCGGTCCCGCCGGGCGGAGCCACCCTCGGCGGTTACTTCATACCCGAGGGCACCGTCGTTGAGACGCAGGCTTACACCCTTCACCGGAACCCAGACGTTTACCCCGATCCTCTCAGGTGAGTCCAGGTGAACTTTAGCCCCTTCTCAAAAAAGCACTGCTGATACAGTAACCCCCCCCCCCCCCCCAGGTTCGACGAGACTCGGTTCTTGACCCCGGAGTCACTTACGGTGCAGCAGAAGCAACTGTATACGCCTTGGGGGGCTGGCACGCGCACTTGTCTTGGGATGCACCTTGCGCGCATGGAGCTTCGCCTCGCGACCGCCATCTTTTTCAGGAACTGTCGTGGCGTGCGGCTTGCGGACAACATGACGGACGCCATGATGGAGATGGAGAATTTCTTCCTGATCAGCCCGGCCGGACACCGTTGCGACGTGACCTTGAGGTAGTAAGATGAGAAGCTGGACAACTGTATCTTTGGTGGCCGTTTGATGTGTACCCTACAGACAGCTGGCGCACACCATCCGAGACGCGCCAGACACCGTTTCAAAGTACGTACACAACAAATGATACACGGCCCAAGGGAGACAGAGACAACTGCTTCATGTGGCTTGCTTTCGCCTGAGTCTTTTTGTATCTCCTGCGGGCATTGATAAAGTTTACATGATGGAATCTGGAGTTCGAATGACGGGATACATTGGGTACATTGGGCTCCAGAAGCCGAGAAAGGGGGGAGAAAAAGAAGAAAGAAACAAGGGCATCGACTACAGATTTCTGATGTTTCGTTGGAACCGACCGTTTTGAAGCATTTATCATTGCTGCATGAATATTTTGGACATGTATGACTGTTTCCTTTCTGAAATTCATGTACCAATATCCACTCAGACTAGTTTCACGGCGGTAAATTTCTAGGCAAGTTACTCATATACCCTTCATCTCATCTAGCCAGCCGCAAATCGAGCTTGAGAAATTGGACCTGATGTTCGCTGCCACTAGCCTCCAACCACAATGAAGGCCATGCTCATAGACTCAACCCAACCTGAGGATGCTCGATCCTTATTGGCCAATTTATTCAGATAGGAGTGGTGTGCTTATGTTTATCTACGGCTGACAGGGGTCTGTGAGTCCAAGGGCTGGATGTCCCTTTGACGCTTTCTTATCCCAGCATTTGCTTAGCCCCCACGATGTCAACAAATGGTTGGGCCAGACCCGAATCCTAGAAGCACATCCAGTTGACGCCACAACATGCAGCTAGTCGAAATCAGTGCACCTTTCAAGGGGTCAACGTTGGTCTCTGGCCGGCTGTCGGCCACTGATTAACTCCGGGGGAAATCTACATAGTAAGTCTCAGTTTAGGCCCTTGAGAAGAGGGGAAAGGGCCACTGTGATTCGTGCATGATGACAGCTGTCACTCTCTTTTCTTTACATGCTCATGACATTTGTCACAAGTGACGAGTTTGGAGACTGGAGAAGGACGGGATAGCACTCATTATAACGAAGACTCCCTCATTCACCAAGGCGATGGTCAATACGTACAACAGTGACGGACCGAGTCTCAAAACCCAGCGGTTACCGCTCGAAAAAGGCAGAAACCGGGTCAGACGTAAACTCTCAGCGATACCATATCCTTCCGTCAGAAGCTCCCTTCCATCATGTCTTGCAATCTCCCTGCACCGACTTGAAGCCTCCGCTCCCTGGCAACGAGTCGTTCCGTCTCGCCTCGAAGCTCATATTTCTTGGTCAAACATCAAGGACTGAGACAGCATGATAATCGAGGGGGTTTGGACAAGCAAAAGAGTCGTGATATTCCACGCTGCAGCTCCGCATTAGTTGGGATCTCAAACTGCTGCATCGCCAGCCGCACGCTGGTCAGGATCCGCTCTTTTGCCCAGAAACTTGGAACGTCGGTCCTTTTCCATCCAAACAGAACCCCTGTCTTCCGGGAAAGAGGGCTGGCACTCTTAGCAAACGCAGCCCGAGAGGCTCGGAAGCCTGGGCCGCAGCTACCGGATGGGATGCCGCGTGCCTCTAGTCTGATGCACCTGTTCTCGGAGTCCCGGCATGTTGCCTGGCCCATATCGAACAAGGTTGTTTTTCCTTTCTTTTCCGACACGCGTGTCAGCGCTCGCGGTGTCTTCATCGGGATCAAGCGAGTCCTTCTTCTATTAAGCTTGGCCCCCCCAGCCTATCGATTTGATCGCCGGGAGAGCTTACATTCCATTCCAAGATGCCCATCAGCAAGAACATGTCGACCGCTGGCCGTACCTCAGGCACGGCATCTGTGCTCGCGATAAGAAGTAACTCTACGCACTCTCAAATCGTCATCGATGTTTCCAAAGACCCTGCGCCACGGGTGGTGGCCTCAATATGGGTCATGATTTCAGTGTCGACAATCTTTCTGTTTCTCCGTGTCTATTGCAAAAAGATCAGATCCCGGGGTATGTGGATAGATGACCATATCCTGATAGTATCTTGGGTAAGGGGAAGGGGAACGATACCCGCCATTTCCCGCCAATATTAACGACGTATTTCCCGTCAGGTGTTTCTGCTGATTTCAACGGCCCTCTCGACGGAGCTCATGAGGCTCGGCTTCGGCAAAACGATCGACTTCACGCCGCATATGCACACCCTCTCATCCGTCAACATCGTGATCAACAGTGTTGCGTTGGCCCTTAGCAAGACATCGTTCGCCGTCACCATGCTTCGCATCTCGTCTGGACAATGCAAGGCCTTTATCTGGTTGCTGATCATATCGATGAACGCGTTGCTGGCTACCGGCGCTGTCGCGAGTTGGATAGCCGCTTGCGACAGGCCGGCGGACACGTATGAAACCGTGATCCCGGGCACTTGTTGGCGAGTCCAGGACTCAGTGGTGATGGCGATGGTGTCGAATGGTTCGTTGAATGCCTCATGATCGGCACAAGGGTCCACACTAACACACAGCTTTGAAGGCTATTCTGCACTGGTAGACTTCATATTGTCTCTGCTACCGTGGGCAATTATGCGGGGGATTGGGATGAAGCGTCACGAGAGGATCGGTGTTGCGATAGCCATGAGCCTGGGCATCATCGCCGGTTTGGTTGGTGTTATCAAGGTCGTTAAAATTGCGACGATAGCTGGGGGCGCAGACATTCCGTGTAGGTGTTCTCCACCAGACCCGTCTTAATCACTTGCTAACTCGGGAACTCCAGACCGGCTATCGCTGTTATTCATCTGGGCACAAGCGGAACCCAATGTGACGATAGTGGCCTCTTCGATCCCGGTACTGCGGGTGTTGTTCAGCGAAATGTACAGCCATTCGAAGTCGAGCGAGGGGGGCGGGTACATGAAATCAAACAGGCAAAGCGAATTTCATTATGAGGTCGGGAAGAAAAAGCTTGGAGAGGACTCCGAGACGAAGGTGACCGGCCAGAATACGTTGCAAGCTATAGGACCATCGACGACGACCACGTACGCCATGCGGGCTAGGGAGAATGAAGTCGGATACGATACCATAGACGAGATAACGCGGGGGACACACCAACACTCCCTTCGGGGATCTGAGAGCTATGAGCTAGAAAGAATACCAAGATAGTTGAAGGCAAAAACTCGAATTCATGCAAAACAAGAATATACAACACCAGATATTCGCTGATCGTCACCGCCTTTCTAATGACTATAACAAGCAGCGCCTAGCCAAGTGTACTCCCTATAACACCTGAAGACACTTCAATTCTTCTGGTTTCAAAAAGAAGAGTTGAAACAGGATTTTGCGTTCAATTCCTGATATCCTCTCACTCGCCCACACTCTCAACACCCGCCACCCCGACCCCGACCCCTCTTCGCACTGCCTATTCTGGCCTCGACAACAATAGCAACAGTAATATAAGACCTTACAGAAATAACACCTTGTATCTCACGCGTCACGTGAGTTTTACATGTACAATACCTCTCTGCTTCTGCCACCAGGAAAGAGTCATTTTTGCCAACAAACCAAAGCACTGCGTAATGCTCGGCCTTCTAGGTAGAGTTAATCTAGCAACTCAAAGCCTCATGAAAAAGGACTTTAAGATGCATGTATCGGAAAAATTGCTGGTTGTACTGCTATAACGTTATAATTTCCGTCTTAGGTTTTTGTTTCCAATAGAAAACCTTCCTGAATAGCCTGCAGCTGTATCTCGCAACGGATCTATTTGCCATATCCGTAACGCTCGCAGCGTTATAAAGCCCCATGATATATAACCTGTCTATTAACTGTGATTTCGAATAGTAACTTCAATGCCGCATTATAGCACTAAAGGGTCGATGGTCTTTGTGACATGGAAAGTTTGAAAGGAACCATTCCCTGATTTGTGGCAAGCAGATTCAACTGGTATACACATCTTCTATATTCAGGTACTATCTGGTACTTCAACTATGTATGATTGTAGTCCGAATTTAAGTGGGCTTGACTAAGATGGAGCCGATCGACTGAAGACCAACGGCGTGCTCACCAGCCCCCAATGTGGTGAAGTCTCCGGTAAGGTTGGCATTTGTGTATACCTCGACACTGGTGCCGGCACTTACTTGCACCGTCTGGATGTCACCAGGTTGCACGCCGGCGTCCTCGAAGAAGACTGAAGGGAACCCGCCTTGTGGGAGGGATATGCCCGGTATCTTGGTGCCGTTTCCGGTGAAAACGGACGCACCGTTACTAATGAGTGGCACGGGAATATGGTTGGCGAAGCTGAGCTTGAGGACGTAGGCAAAGGACTCTGCCGGTTTGGGCGGAAGCTCAACGACGAGCGCGTCTGGCTCTTGCGTCCAGCTCTCGGCGGCAGCGTAGTCACCGGCCGAGTCGCCAAGCAGTTCTACCGTGGTGAGGCCGGCAAGGTCCACGCCGGCACCGGAGCCGAGGCTGGCAATGGAAACAGTGGCGTCTTCCGGCCACCCGAGGACCGTGACGTATAGGACATCCTTGGCCTTATTGCGCGTGAAGCGGATGTCACTGCTGTTGCCGGTCAGCGGGGAACTGAAGGAGCCGCCGCCGGCCTTGTTGGGTCCTTCGCCGTAGATGTCCCACGCGCGGGTGCTGTAGATGGACTCGCCGTACCGCCCGAGGTACGCGCCAATGTCGAGAAGCACCTTTTCCTGTTGCTCGGGAAGCACGCCTGCCGCAGTTGGGGAGATGTTGAGCAGCATGTTGCCGTTCTTGCTGACGCGGTCAAGGAAGGAGTGGATCATCTGGGTCGAGCTGTAGTAGGCGATACCGACCGTGTAGCTCCATGATGATGCGCTGATGGCATCGTCGGTCAGCCAGTATGGGCGGACAATATCATCCGGGCCGCCGCGCTCAAAGTCGGCCACGGCCGACGTGTTGCGAAAGCCGTTGTCAAAGTGCTTATAGGATGTGAGCACCTCCTTGCCCCACTCAACACCGCGGTTGAAGTAGTGGGCAAGGAACCCAAGACGTTGTGCTTCGCCAATGTTGCACACGAACTTTGGGTTTTGACAGTACCCCGGGCTGTCGAGGGAGAAGTCATTCCAGATCATGTCTGGCTGGACGTGGTCGAGGACCTCGAGCTGCTTGTCAAGCCACCGCTGATCGGCCTGATCCTTGGGGAGCTGGCCGAAAAGAAGCTGCAGCTCCGTGTCGTTCATCTGGGGTGCGAACTCGTAGAAGCCGTTCGTGTTGAAGGCTTGATGCATGGCGATGAGAAACTTCATCCCGCTCTGGCGAACGAGGTCGGCCCAGAGCTTGACCAGATCGATGCCGGGGCCGTGTCTGACAGAGTTCCACGTGTTGACTTTGCTGTCCCACATGGAGAACCCGTCATGGTGCTCGGCAACTGGCCCCGCGAACCTGGCACCAGAAGCGTTGACGACGGCCATCCAAGCGTCGGGATCGAAGGCCCCGCCATCACTCGCCAGGACAGGCTTGAACTCGACGTGATTACCTTGCAGGTCGTCCGCCCCCAGGATGAAGTTTTGGTAGCCCCATTCCTCCGGCGGACCGTATCGCCGCGTGTGCTCTGCGCGCACATCGCTGTCCGGCTCATAGACGTTGCGGCCGTACCACTCGCTGCCGTACTGTGGTGTAGTGAAGGCACCCCAGTGCCAATATACACCGAACTTGGCATCGCGAAACCATTCGGGGGAGGCATTGTGCTTGTCTGTAGACTCCCAGGTCGCTTCATACGGCCCTTCCGTCTGAGCGGTGGCGACACGGGCGAAAAGGAGAGACGCCGCCGCCGTGAGGAAGGCTGTCATGGTGCCTAGTCTTGCGATCATTGTGATAGAAGAAGAAGAATGACCAAAGCTTGCCAGACAAGATGGGAGACAAATGACGGAGTGGTGAGCATGGCGGCCTTTTATGCCTTGGGCCCTTCATCCGAGGAGTAGTTCTTTTGGTGTGACATCCCAATGCCAACTTTATTGATGAGATGAACACGCCTCCGCAACATAAGAGCCGATCCCATAACACATACGATCATTCGGGTGATGTCGTATGTAGCATCAATGCCGGGATAGTACTAGACCTAGGTATCATTATTGATTTCCGTGACGCGGGGAACCCTGTCATGCGCTTTAAGAAAGTTGACGCCTCAACGTGCCGCACTATACGTTGATTGGAGCGCATCTACACTCGGCGGTAGAATTAAACATCTCGGGATTCCCCCCCGCATCACCTCTATTGAGAAGGGCCCGACTGGAGGTTATCTTTATTAACACGGCCACGGTTCAAATTACTACGTAAACACCGTTACCTCTGCTGTAACGCTACGCACGAAAACACCTGATAATACTCAACAGGACGGAAACCACCTTATGAGAACTGTAAACACTAACTCTACTTGGTGTGTTAAAGCTGAAAGGACGAGGAATCTGATGCTCAAAATGACAGGAGGTCGTAGCTGCTTGCATACCACTATAGCTTAGTGTAAGATGAAAAAAGCAAGACTTTAAGTCTCAGAACGAGAAGTATCTTGGATTTCTTTAGAATCAGTATGTCTAGTTATCATAGCTTGGCAGTTTTATTGTAGATTGACACATGTAGCCAAAATCCAGTTCGCTCCAGGAATATACGTTGAGATTGGAATCATCTCAAATAAGATTAGAATCTCTCTTGTGTTCTTTGAAGTATTCTACAGCCGCCCAGGAATTGTTCGTCCGCCCGGGCTTGTCTTCGGATGTCTCCTCGTCTGGCATGTGTGTGTACGCATCACGAGGACTCACCTCGCCCATAGTCAATCAGCCTCAGATAGCCCTCATGAAGCATCGACATTATCATCGGTGCGAGTGTCAAGCAGCCACCATGTTTCCAAGTCCCTGTCCACCTGCCCTGAAAGGGGAACGATTCCCTCTTGAATCTTCTCATCTTCCAAACGCCAGAGCTCTCTCATTGGAATCCAGGATCCAGAACTTCTCAAGGGGAAATTCGTCATCGCTTGATCCGTTTACAATAGAGCTCTTTATGCACTTAGGTCTAAACGAGACCATTCGCAAAAGCAGCCCATAATACTGTTGTCGTGCCAAAAGCGACGCCGTTAATTGCAAGCAGCAATTAACGCCTTATGTAGCACAACAACTGTGTAGTACTTTCAATGATAGTGCCACGCTTGTAAAAAGATCTACGTAGTAAGACCCGAAATGAGAGGTCTTTTCAAGTGTCTCAGTTACACCGTATCAGTTCGATTTCCCAAGGCACAAGTCCATCGATTCTCTCCAGTCAGCTGGTATCGTGAGCCAGTCATAGCCGGATTCGGAGCCAGCAGCCGGTATAGGAGGATGCATGTGTGGGTAGTGGGGTAAGTCAACACATGAGAATTAATAACGAGTCAGAAAGGCCAGTCGAGGCCGATATCGAGGGGCGTGTCATTGACGCAAGGCGTAAAAGGCGTGGCCAATGCAGCAACGTTCCTAAAAAGAAAACTGCTTACCGACTCGTGAAGACTATGGATTCTGATGATTGAGGGTCCTAGCAGTACATCGTGTGAATTAGACTTTCAACTTGGCAGCGATTTCTAGTCAACCCTAACCCTATAGATTTCTTAGTAAGGGACTGACTGATGCAACAATGTCCTTATCCATGGTACCTCCGTTATCTAAGTTCTATCCAAAACACCGATCACGTTCTGAGGCTATTCCGCAGTGACTCATTCGTCTCGTTGATCGTCAACTCACTAGTACGGCAGCTTATATAAAGCTCGCCTATTGAAGCTGTCGCCCGAACCTTACTGACACATTCTCCATAAATCTTCCCTCACAACACTGTTCCAAAGAAAACACGTTATGGAGCTTCCTTACACCACCGTCGATGTCTTCACCGACAGGCCCTTCGAAGGAAACCCCCTGGCCATTGTCACCATTCCCGCCTCCGTAACCCTGACGGAGAAACAGAAGCAGGACATTGCGAGGGAATTCAACTACTCAGAGACTACCTTCGTGCATGAGGACGACGACCCCGCATGCACCGAGAGGCGCTTCCAAATTTTCACTACGACCCAGGAGCTCCCCTTCGCAGGCCACCCGACCGTCGGTACGGCCGTCTTTCTGAAGCCGCGCGGCGTCAACAAGCTGATGGCCAAATCCGGCCCGATCGACATTACCGATGCGGGTGCTGACTCCGTCCGTGCCGCTATCCCCCACAACGCCCGCCTTCACCAAAAGCGCCTGAGAGACCTCGGCCCGGGCCCTTACAGCGACGCGGTCGCGCAGCTCGCCGAGGCCGAGGTGGACGCGCCCGTTTTCAGCATCGTCAACGGGATGACCTTTGCCCTCGTCGAGTTGCCCTCGCTGGAATCTCTGGCATTGGCCAAGATAGGGCCGATCAACTTCCACGAGGAGGAGCTTCTGGAAGAGGGCTGGCGCGACACATTCTTGACGCGATACTATTTTGTGCGTCTCGGGGCCGAGACCGTCGACGGCCGCGTCGTGCAGAAGATCAGAACACGGATGATTGAAACTGATATGGAGGACCCAGCTACGGGGAGCGCTGCCTGCGCGCTGTCCAGTTATCTAAGCCTGAACGTGCTGTCTGAAGAATCACTCAGCTTCGAGATCACCCAGGGCGTCGAGATGGGTCGCAGAAGCCACATCTACGTCGACGTTAAGGTCACGAAGGGCCCCGACGGCGAGCGCAAGCTTGAGACGTTGCATCTTGGAGGCAAGGCGACCCGGGTCATGAGCGGCACCATCTTTCTGAAGTCATGAGCAAGTACTAGGAAGCGTCGTTGACTGAAAAATATAGACATGCGACATCGATGTTCAGTTATGTAACAAAGATCAAAGGTCAATGGCTCTTCTATAGCACAATATCTGTCAAAGTTCTGGAATAGCGGTGTAATGTGAAAGTGGCCAGCCGGCAGCTTCATGCGAATGAACGTGGTGTTCCGTTTCCGCAACCGGCGCCTGATTTAAGTTCCGTGTGACCGAGAATTTCCATATGCTGGTAACTAATGATTGATAATTAGTTATCGCGGGGCAGGAGGGGCGCATATTATGCCGACAAGAAAACAAGATGCTGTGAACACCGAAACACGCCGAGCCCAAGATTCCGGGTTCAGACGCAAGATTCTGCACCAGCTTGGGAGCTGTCGTCTTTGTGAGTCTGATGCCCGGTCTTCCCGAATTTAGTTGTAGCCGGCGGCCGGAGATATAATCTACAGAGTCTAGGTCTTGTTTTGACTATTATAGAGTGGCGCCAGGAGGGACTCTAGAATATCAGTTTACCTGGTAACATGGCATCACATCTGTGACAACCCGTAGGAGAACTAACTGTGAAGATGCTTTCCCCCCTTCACAGAATTCGAACATTCCAGTCATTTTCATAGATTAGCATCTGCTACCCGTCGCAGGGTATGATAGGCATGCAGACAAGTAGTTTTTTCTCAATGATATGAGCTCAACTTTATCTTACCAAGTATTATCTGGGCCACTCATTAGGCGTCCAATTGCATACAATGAATTGTTGGCCATTTACCAATTTGGCTACGAGAGGGCAGAAGTTATAATGAGCCCTCAATTTAAGCCGAGTGGAACATCAGTCTGTCGTGCCTTATGGAAGATATGTTGAAAACGAGCCAGTGGAACTCCATTAGTCTCGTCGGGTCATCCTGAAGCTATTCGCAACTTTTTCTTCCGCCTGTTTCTTTTTCCTTCACCGTTATTATCCTCCCTTGACTGCCGCTGCACTCCACAAAGGTTATTTGTAAGCCGGCAGAGATTTCCTTCTTTTGGCCCACAAAATGGATACCAAGAACGGGGCGTCTATCCGGCTTCAATAAGGGAACATGTCTTATCGACTACCGACTGGGGAAGACGAGGGTGTATCCATGGCATCTATGACCTGATCGCCGCGGCCCTTTGGGTCAAACAAGCGTATCCATGACATTTTCCACGTGTTCCTCGGTCAAACTGACGACTTGATGGATGTCGATGGGGCCGGCTGGGGTCCGCGCAGGGATGACAGAAATGGCGAGTCAGCATGAACCAACCAGTCAATGAATGCCGCATCGTTGGGCCCAGTATATGACGATGTGATTATTCATTGCGTCATGCAGACACTCCTCGAAGCAAATAGCTCGGGCCCCACGATGGTTCGAAATCCCTCTTGGTCAAGTATAAGGACCGAGACTGCGCAAGCAAACGGGGACTGGATATACCAAATTGGGATTACATAGCCTCATACAACTTCCACATTACAACAAAAACAAGAAAGCACCCGAAATCACCCTCGCCATGGCTCCCACAACTACCAACACTTGGTCCATCACCGGCATCGACAAGGACAGTACCAACTGGGACACTCTCAAGCTCAAGAAGGACGTCCCGATTCCCCAGCTCGGCGACTATGATGTTCTCGTTCAGATCGAGGCCGTCTCCCTGAACTACCGTGACTTGGCCATCCCCAAGGTTGGTAATATCCCTCTGCATGCATTCACCATTGCCCGTCTCACTCACACCTCGCCCAGGGCCTCTACCCCTTCCCCGTCAGCTTCCCCCGCGTCCCGGCCTCTGACGGTGCCGGCCATGTCATCGCCGTCGGCTCCAAGGTCACGCAGGTCAAGGAGGGCGACCACGTCGCAACCCTCTTCAACCAGAACCACTTTGCCAACCCCATTACCCCCCTAGGCGTGAAGAGCGGTCTTGGCGGCGCTATTGACGGCACTCTCCGCCAGTACGGCGTCTTCCCCGAGACCGGCCTCGTCAAGGCGCCCCGGACTCTCACCCCGGTCCAGGCCGCCACGCTGCCTTGCGCGCCGCTGACCGCCTGGAACGCCCTGTACGGCCTGCAGTCCAAGGCGCTGAAGCCCGGGGACTACGTATTGACGCAGGGCACGGGCGGCGTAAGTCTGGCCGCCGTCCAGTTCGCCGTCGCCGCTGGCGCCATTGTCATCGCGACGACGTCGTCCGCGACCAAGGGTTCGCAGCTCAAGGAGCTCGGCGCGCACCACGTCATCAACTACAAGGAGACACCCAACTGGGGCGAGGTCGCCAAGTCGCTGACACCGGACGCCGTCGGCGTTGACCACATCCTCGAGGTCGGCGGTCCCGGCACCCTCACACAGTCCCTCAAGGCCATCAAGCTCGAAGGCGTCATCACCATCATTGGCTTCCTGTCCCACCGCGAAGGCCCCAAGGACCAGCCCACGATGCTGGACGCCCTCGCCAACATCTGCACGGTCCGCGGCATCTTTGTTGGCTCCAGGCAGCAGTTTGAGGAGATGAACCAGGCCATCGACGCCAACAAGATCAAGCCCGTTGTTGACAAGAGGATCTTTGGCTTCGAGGAGGTCAAGGACGCCTACCAATACCAGTGGGATCAGAAGCACTTTGGCAAGGTCGTAATCAAGATTTGAAACATGTATAACAAGACGATTGTACGTTAGATAGGTGTAACTTGGTATGGCTCCATCGAGTAAAGAGGGGCATACTGGAACAACCTAATGCAGTCATGACCACCAAATAGTCAATCCTCTCGCGTCCGTGATTGAGTCCCGTGAATGCAGCAATGGCGAGCAGATTGGCCCGAGGATGGATTGGCACGGTTTTGTAATTTAGTCATAACAGGATATATTGTCTAGCAATCTGATTTGGTATCCCTCCTCCACGTATCGCTCCTGGAAATTTCCATCATTCACACAGCTGATCGGGTAAAGATTGCCGTAGATGCTGCAAAATGAACGCCTGCCTCCCCGCCCCAAACTCCGGGTGTGCCGACCGAGATGCCATATTGTATCAAGACTTGGTGCTCTGCTCTTGCTCGGAGACGTCCTCGATGCGTCTGTCAATGTTTGCCTTCGTCGACTCGCCGTTGCGGAGATTCCGTCCCTGGGGAATGGGACGACCTGAGGCGTCCCAGTCGCGGCGCTCGAGGTACACTGGTTCCCCCGTCCGCATTGAAGCCGTTCGGATCGTGGTGCCAGAGGGGCTGCATTCGTGCTTGCGAGCCCATCGTTTCTCCTCAGTCCTGCCGTTGCGGGTGACGGAAGAGGAAAAGGAGATGGACGACGAGAAGGAAAAAGGCATCGTCAGTCGATTTGGCTTTTTCGTATTCTTGATACTTGCTCGTCTTGACGTGTGATTTCTTCGTTGAGGTTAGCAGAGGCAAGGAAAACGACACTGTCTCTCGATGCGGCACTTGGGGGAGAAGAAAACAGGGTGAGACATCCGAGCTGGTCGCATGATAGACCGTGGCACCGACATCGAGTTACTCCACCAAATACGTCATATGAGGTGATGATGGCTTAGTCATCAGACCTAGATGTTTCCATCACATGTTCTTCAGTCTTGGATCTCGGCATTTCTGATGGGTTCTGTTAGTTGGGCCCGGAGACTTTCATGTGGGATTTCGCGTTATAGATCTAAGCGTTATAGATCTACATTGGGGGCTAATATCAGCTACAACCAATATAAAATGGCCTTGAATGCTGATCTTATGAACTCTATTCATCCATGTGGTTGGTGCATGGATGGCATAGCCTCGAGGATTTAAAAGGTTCTCTATCTATTTCCGACCCCTTGTTGTGAACTCATCGCTATGCCCCACGCTTCTCGAGACGAAAAGTCAGTCCGTTGGACGGTCCGTTTTAGAAGGAGATCTTTCTCGGACGCATCCCAACAGCTTTTGCCCAAAGCTGAACAGCAATAGATTTGCCTGCCCGCACCTTTTCGCTAGTATTGTTGGCTATGGAGACTGTTGAGTAGTCGGCAAGCTGCGGTCTACAGAAGGTTGTGTTGTTGCCGAGTCAAACTAATAGTGATGATTTAACATTGATGTTGGTGTACAATCGTTTGCAGGCATCACTACATAGCAATATGACACAAGATAACGGCCCATTCCTGGCCACCAAAGACGCCAGTCCGTGTCTAAACAAAGCCAAACTCCCTGTCCAAACTTTCCGCCAAAGTGATGGAACTGTTCAGAATCCAACTCACTTCCCTGCTCAATGGCGTCACATTCTCCCCGACCATGCAGCTCATCTGGGTTCGGTCTGCACCCTTTTCCCACTTCCCGTCGACTAATGTATGCGTCGGCAGGCCATATTCCTTGGGATCAACCTTCTTATTCTTCAGCAGACCACCGTTATACCAGAAGGGCTCATCCCGCACATCCACATGCCCTATAACAAAACTGCAGACTCTTTGGGCAGTGTCATTAACCATTTCCTTGAACCAGCCGATCATAGAGCCGTAGTGCTTTTCGAAAGCGTAGCTTGATCCGCTGAGTTCGAAGCCGAACCACCAGGTCTCCTTGTCGCCATAGGTCAACTTATAGGAGACCTCCTCACGCACCTCATAGGTATTCTGCCACGCTACATGAAGCAGGCCCATCAACACATCCAGACGCGACTTGTCGACGACCACAACCCCAGAGTCCCCCTCCTCGGCATAGTCCTCGGTCCAGACGAGCGATTTGTTGAGCGTGGCACTGGGCTCGTGTATTTGCGACTTCCACCACTCGTGACGGTCGGCGAAAGCATGCTGCCAAATCAAGCGATCGTGGAAGAGGAGAGCACCGGTCGCTTGGTAGGAGGGATCAGCGAACAGTTTTTCTGGAACTTGTACAAAAACAGAATCCGCGTCCGAGAGGATCACCTCCTCGAAAGGTGCGTAGAGCGCTGCAAAGGCCTTGATAGCCCAACCGCCTGTGGCGAGCTGCACCGTCGTATCGTCAACGACACTGAGGATGTCAAGGAACTGGACATCGCCAAATCGAGACTGCAACTTCGCGCGTCCCTCGGGTGGGAAGTCCTCGTCGCCGGCATAGATTATTTGAATCGTCATGTTGCTGTTCAAGATCTCTTGCAGTGAGCCAATGAGGTGAGTCGCATATCTCATGGTTCCCTTGCCTGTCGCAATGACGAAGCCCCGTGATCCCGGAATGATGGACGAACGCAGGTCTGAAAAGGGGGTCTTGCTACCCGGACGCTGCGGTGAATTCTGGATGAAGGGAAAGCAAGATCCGATTGCGCTCTCCACCATTTCGACAAGGACTTGGGTATTCGCAGACTTGGGAGCGTTGTCGATGACTTTGACCCATTCTCGGGCACGCATGACCCGTTGACCGAGGTCGTGGAACTTGTCCTTGTAAGGGGGTTGGATTGGGTCCTCAATCAATGCTTTCGCCTGTTCCATGATGAAATCTGCCTTCTTCTGCCATATTGACAGAGATTCCTCCTTGGGCTTGTCGGTATGTTTAGGGTGGGATGGCGCTTGCGTCACCGGCTGTGTGGGTGACGTAGGATGATAGGATGGTGCGAAGATAGATAACGAGTACAAAAGCATTAATAAAAGACAGACGAAAAAGATTGTCGTTGTTATCCGTGAGGATGAAATGGCTACGAGGAGCATGCTGAATCAAGGAGAAACTGCGAAGCGCAGTTGAGAAACAGGGGATTTTGGTGACGAATGTGTCGCGTGGGAACAATCGAAGTGATTCGAAAACGGGGAGTCTCCAGCTCTACCTACTACTCTAGAATTCCTACAACCCCGGACAGGCCAACGTAATAGCGTAGTAAGGGCAGTGGGGTATTTTCTTTCAAATGGGATGTCGATTAAGTCGATCAACAAACCAGGCGGCCAACCAGAACTTAGCGTTGGTTATGTTGGCGAAAGAGGCTGACCGTCGCCCAGGAGGGGGATGAGACAGAACAGGGGTGGGAGCTCAAGATAAGGACGCTTGTGAGAGATTGCATTCTGAGATGCGGCGTGCAAACTTACATGTGCCCATTGCAGCCGCCTTTCGGACGCATTTCTCTACCATGTTGCTGTTTTGTCTCATCATACTCACAGCTTCCTGTCGAGGAGGTTCTTTGGTCGCCGAGACCCGACCCGCGGCCTCGTTCACTTATTCTTATCATACTCCGTACACTCCTTGCCAACAGAGCGTTGCGCTAGTCTAGACAGGGGTTCGACAGGGCTGGACGGCGGCTACATGTCTTGGCTCTCCCTTTGCCGTTGGACGGTGTGCAATCAGAGCGCGGAAAATGTACTCGACCGACGAAATGCTACTTCGTACCAACAAGACATGTACTACTTGGATGGTTATCTATCTTGGCAAACGACCGCCAGGCAGGCCGACGGGCTAAGCGGCTGGGACACTTCGGTTGGTCACCGACATGCCCAGGTACCGCATTCTTTTTCTTCTTGCCCGTCTCTCCCATTTCTCTTCTGTCTTTCTCGTCCATTCAGTTTGGGCATGCCCTTCCTTTTTGCCTTACACAGCATCTTGCCAATAATACACGCCTGCGTCCTTGAGCTTTCAGCTGTCTCTATCGCCATGTCAAAACCACCCAGGTTGATCCTGCTTTTCATTTGCTCGCTTTTTCTGTTTACGGGAGCCTCCCAAGGCGAGACTTGTTACAGCTACAGTGGATTAGCATGGCCTAATCAGAAGGTATGCGAGGGTTCCAGCGCTTGCTGCGGAGTAAAGGACGATTGCATGCCGAACCGACTATGCAAAAGTCAAGACCTTCGGGATAATATCTTGGTCCGAGGACCTTGTCTATCAACTCCGTGGGACAGGAGCAATTGCGCACAAACTTGCGTATTCAGTAAGTGTGCTGTCATTGCCATTTGCGTACCATCGTGGCTATATCGTAACTGCTAACAACGAAACCCACTGCCAGATGAGACAACTATTAACACGGGCTTCGTCACCGACGTTTTCCCAAGAGTGGAAGACTGTGGCAACAGCACCTACTGCTGCATGCAGGGTAGTGAGTCGTGTTGCGACTCCTCGGCAAGAAAAGTGTTTCTCGATGATAACGGAGTTTTGCTCTCTGCTGCTCCCAGCCAAACGACTTCGTCGAGTGTGGTTAGTTCCACAGAAGCAACTTTGACCACTGCGAGTTCCTCCCAAACGTTATCCACAACTGTTACTTCAGAACCCACACAAGATCCCGTCGATGGGTCCGACTCTGGAGCCAACGAAGCGCTCGCACTAAAAGTTGGACTAGGGGTTGGAATTCCATTTGCTGCGATGGTCGTGGGATTGGCTACCTGGCTGATTACCAGAAAGCTGCGTAAGAAGGACAGTAATGCCTCTGAGCAGGTTGCTCCCACCTCATACGGCCCTGATGAAGGACACGGCGGATATGCCAAAGGATCGACATATCGAAGCAGTCCGTACGTATCCTACCGGAGCTCGAGTCCCGCGGGATTGAATGAGATGCATGAGATGCCGGGGAGGCCAGACGAAGGCTGGGATGGGACTCCACGCGAACTTGCTGGCTCCGAGTTACGGGGCGGAAGGAATCACTAAGGTGGCCAAAAGAAAATGACGAAGAGCATTGGGCGTTGGTTAGCGAATGATATTCGGAGAAAGTAGAGTTTGGGTCTGCTTTACAAGACGGTGTTGCGATTTCGAGAGCGCCATATATGCCATCGATTTTCAAGAACTCTTCTCAATGGAATATAATTTAGACTCAATGTTATGAGGGTAATCCACTAGCCCAATAGACAGTCAGAAATTTACTCTCTGCTTCCAATTCCGGAAGTCGAACTGGGGTGTTGTGGTTGAGACAAATTCCTAGACACCAGGTCGACGTCTTTGTAGCCTGTGAAACACTTTTGACTTCCTTACATGCCTGCTATCAACTTTTTGCCGATTATGATTTGGTAGTAGGATGAAGGTGGTTTAAGCTGCTACAATCTTTTTAGTAGTCACCCGGTGTCATTTGTTAGGTCCTTACAATTGTTGCTGAATCGGCGCACCGCAGGGAGACTTTGTGTGGGAACGTCTTGACCAGACCCCTATGAGTGAATGACAGAAGCCGATACGCGTGCCGCTTTTGCCGCTAGGCGCACCCGCCGGCTATGCAGACTGGGGATAGCATAGTTAGCCATGCCGATTGTCCGAGTGTGCCCGCTTTTCGCCCAGAAGCTCTGTATCACCCTGAAAGGTGCTCGAAGACTGTGATAAGCTTGGAGCGGGAAAGTTGAGTTATCGTTCGTTCATCCTTACGAGCTAAGCTGCCCATGACTATTGTTTAGGATGCGCAAGCTCCCTGCAAATGAATCCCGTATCGGCTTTCGACGTTGGATCGTGGATTACCTTGTTGGCTGTGCTTCACCTCTTATAGGGACCCTACTGATCGGACTCGAGCCAGACACCGCGCCAAAAGCAGCCAGTTTCAAAAAGCTCCAAAACAAGGAAAAAGAAATTAAGCAGCGCATTGTACAGTTACTAAAATTCAAATATTACTTGCTACGTATCAACAATATAGACCGCGGTGACTTTTTCTAGACTTGCGTATGTCTACGGGTTCATATAATGCAAATGTAGAGGGCTACAACAAGCCCCCCAATAAGATATCATCACCCAAGACGACTTAAGATACGATATCTAGATCAGGATAGAGAGGAAGTGTCGTTAAGGCATCCAGGGTAGAAGGCGTGTCTTTGTTTTTCTACGTTAGAATTTAGGAAAATCCAAGCCATCTCTATGAGGGATTCTAACCGTCAGACTTCGGTTAATCCCATATTTATCAACTATAGCCATGCTAATACTGCTGAGATTATTGGAAACTGGCACCTTCTGCTCCTAATTTTATTAAAATAGCAGGCCTGACGACAGAAACTGCCATTTGTCTAGCCCTAAAACTTGTGGTTATGGTTCCTATAGTGGAGGAGCTTGTTAGGACAGGTATGCTTAACAGTCAAGGAGCAATGTTAGCCACTAGCAATGCATCATATGGCAACAACAATTTTGTCTTATTTGACGGGACAGAATAATGAAATGACGCGGAACTGATAATAGCTACGATGCCAAGCAAGATTTTGGTTAAACTCATGATTGTGTGGGCTGTGAGGGAACCGCAGCGCCAGGACTGCATGTCACAATAGTCAGAACAACGAGGGATGAAGTCAAGAGAAGTGCAACCGTGGGCATATTTCATGACAGAAAAATGAAAACAATCTAATGATCTAAAGCACGGAATATACTACTAAAGCACAGGATATGCTACAATACATACATCTAATACTTAACTACTATACATCGCTAGAGAGGATGTAAGACTTGACAGCTAAAGTCAAGATGAAGATCAAAGAGATCATGGCTATGTAAACAGAGGTAGCATAAGAAAGAGTGTAAAGATTGACCTATATCAAGAGTAGCCTTTAAACAAAAAGATTCTATGCAAGACATGAGAAAACTCGATCTGTCTACTTTCAGCAACAGATCAAGCCTCAATATCCAAGGGTCTAGCGGGAGCTTTCCTGCATCCCCACCAAAGATGATACCACTCAAGGAAAGGAGCTTGACGGCCCTTGAAAACATGAAGAAAGTAAGTGAACTATAAGAGAACCGCGCCAATACCACAAGGGCTACAAGATTAGCGATAACTCTAATGCGTCAGATGAATGCAACGGAACAACACGTAAACTGTTCAAGCAAGTAGTTCATGGTCGCGAGCACCATACTATCAACATGTGACAGAGCGCAGATCACTGACCGCGAAGAATTGGTCAGTGTGACATATCGCTTTGTCCATTTGTTCAGTGCATCCGCGCCAATGATGTGGTTGGCTAAGCCCCAGCGGAGATGGGGAAATACGAGTGTCAATCACTCAAAATAGAAGCAAAATTGGGGTCCGTTGCTGTTTCTGATTGAATCTAATGAATCAGAATTAATTGCCCCCTCAAACCGTCAAGTTTTCGAATCATGCTGGACCACGGTACATTCGAACTCTACCGTATTGAATACCATGTACTTGTTTATTTGAGCGCCTCAATCAAGCTTCCTAAGCCGAGCCTTTGTTCGGTGCCGACGCTCGCTCATGAGAGCCGCGTTGGAACTAGAACCGAGAGCCAGAGCATAGTCCCCATGTTTGGTACACATTATCCGGCATTGAATACTGCCGAGTGTGGGGTTAGGCGCACGGTAGCTAGGGCTCCCCGCGAATACTACTCTATTACAAACATGCGATGAACTGATGGGTTGATGACTGCTTGCCTAGCGTGCCATGTTGGGACGGGTTTGTCCCTCAATGGAGGGGAAAATATTTCCCTATGCCTGTAGGTATTCCTCAAGTAGGGTACCAAATAGACGAACAATATGGAAACGTACAGGCTATAGTGACCGAAATACGAAATTGGGGATACCTTGCACCCACCCAGCTCGATAGAAGCGAGCCAGTCGAGTTATAGACAGGCGATCTATCTGACACGCCCCGCGCGATTTATCTCCACTCTGGAGCAGATTCGCGCTAGGTTCACTGCCGGGCAGACGGTCAATCTCTTCTAACCCCAGAATCAACTGACCAGTGTATCTTAACCCGAGTGCCTCGTATGTCAAACAGCGGCGAAATAAGGCAGTGGAGATCGTCTCTACCGGCAGAAGCTGCAGATCGGATAGGAAACAAGCAACAACGCCGAGACCCGAGTTTGTATATAAAAGCTTAGCATGGCACCGTTAAGCATTGTCCATGGTCCAGAGCCATCAGGAACTGAACGCCGCGACTACAACTCCTTACAAGCCTGACCCCTGGGAATATAAGACGAAAGCACTCCCCATCATGCATTCCACCGTCCCAGCAATCTTGTCCCTGGCCGCTGCGGCTGCCGCCGGGCCCCTCGTCCTCGAAACTCGCCAGCAGAGTGTCGGCCAAAAGCCTATTCTGGGTTGGAGCGGGTGGGTAAGTTTGTCCCTTCTGTGTTGTATCCTCTTAGGATGATCATTACGGAAGTGCTGATCATAGTTTCCGTTCGATCCAGAACCAAGGAGGGTGCAATGCCGCCAGCGCCAGCGTCGCCTTGACGACGGCCCAGAACTTTATTAGTCGTGGGCTCAAGGACGCCGGCTACACCTACGTCAACATCGACGACTGCTGGTCCACCAAGCAGCGCGACAGCTCGGGGAACCTGGTCCCGGACCCGGCTAAGTGGCCCAACGGCATCAAGGCCGTCACCGACCAGATCCACAGCATGGGGCTCAAGTTCGGCCTGTACGGCGACAACGGCATCAAGACCTGCGCCGGGTACCCCGGGAGCCAGGGCAACGAGCAAAAGGACGCCAAGCTCCTCGCCAGCTGGGGCGTCGACTTTTGGAAGTACGACAACTGCTACACCCCCTGCAACCTGACCGGCCCGCCGCAGACGTGCCCCAACAACCAGGCGCCGAACTCGCGCCCGCGGTACGAGACAATGCGCGACGCCATCAAGGCGACGGGCCGACCCATCCTCTACTCCCTGTGCAACTGGGGCTACGATCAGGTGTGGACTTGGGGCGCGCAGGTCGGCCAGATGTGGCGGATGAGCACCGACAACTGGGGTGGGTGGCAGGACGTGGTCAACATTGCCAACTGGGCGGCGCCGATTGCCAAGTACTCCAAGCCGTACGGATTCAACGACCTCGACATGATGGTACGGACTTTGCCTCTTGTTCTTCTCTTTTCCTCATCTCTACGCTCGACTCCTTGTTGATAGACCTGGCTGATTCGTTTGCTCACTCTGTAGATCATCGGTAACGGCAAGCTCACACCGGCCCAGGAGCGCACTCACTTCGCCATCTGGGCCATTGCCAAGTCGCCCATTATTCTGGGAACCGACATCAGCAAGCTGAGCAGTGCGCAGATCGCACTCGTCACGAACAAGGTACATTGATTTCCCGAATCTGGCCCTCCTCGCCCGGCCATTTTCAGACAGAAAAGTCGCTCATCATAATCACAGGACCTCTTGGCCGTCAACCAAGACTCCCTCGGTGTTGCGGCGACGACCTTCACCCCCCGCGGCGCCACCAACCCCGGCAGCGGCAACATGCCCCCGTACTGGGCGGGCGCTCTCTCCGACGGCACCGTCGTCGCGCTCGTCGCCAGCACTGCCGCCGCCACCATGTCAGTCAACTTCACCGATGTGCCCGGCCTCGGCTCCGGCACCTTTGCCTGGAAGGAGCTCCTCACAGGAAAGCAGGGAACCGGCACTTCCGTGAGTGCGCAGCTGGAGAAGAACGACGTTGCCGTGTTCAAAGTGACAAAGGTCTGAGAAGGACAGACATCTGAGCAATGATGACGTCTCTTGTTGTCGAGTAACAGCCGGGCTCTTGGCTGTATGTAATTAAATATCGTTCCGGGGAGGGTTGCGGCGTTGCACGCTTTATGGCTCGCTGCAGCACTTCCAAAGTATATATTATGAAACCAGAACATTTACGAACGGCAATGCCGTTCCTCTTGCAGGTTTATTGTTTTACTACCAGTTAATGCTTAGTTTAAAGACAACTAACGACAATTCTCAGTGGAATTTGGCCTCTACGGAGGGACAGCATGGTTATGTAGTCATTCGGTTTATCCACGAAGCCAGAAGAAACACGGTAACTTTTATATCACGATTAACACAATGTCCAGAGAGTCAAGACTTCGCTTTCCTGCGTGTTAGGTTAGACAGGACAACGGCAGACTCGGCAGTGCAGTTATGTTAATGTTGGTATGACGATAATGTACTGAGCCAGATAAGCTCATCAGAAGGTATCCTCAGACGACAGAGGCGAGGAAGACTATTGAGCCAGCTAGTACCACAAGATTCATTCACACATCGACAGGACTATTTATGGAAAGGGTCCATGCTTTTGCCGCTATGATCCTGGACTGATTCCAAGTCCCCTGCACTGCAAATACAGCCCAGTGCTTTACTCCCAATAGGGCTGTAAGTAAACGTGTGAATCCCTGCACATGCTTCATTTCTCCAATCCCTCCTTCTCCATGTCATGGTCATCGTAGCCGACCTCGGTGTGGTGGTCGTCATCGGAAGGGCCGCCGAGGTACTCTCCAAACACCCTCTGCTCTATGCCCATGTCTTTCCACGCGACGCCCAGTGTCTTGCGGCTCTGCTTCCTGAAGTAGACCCGTTTCGCCCACTTCCACGACTCTACGCCGCCGAAGAAGAGCGCCGCGGCGATGAAGACCACGGCCCATTCCCACGAGATGCCCTTGTGCTTAAACACTTCGGTGTTGATGACGGGGATGTACAGCAGCGGGAACAGGGTGACAAACCCAGCGATAATGGCCCAGAACAGGAACTTGTTCCTCCAGACGTCAATCATCCACTGGGTGAAGTACTTCTTGGACCCGGGCTGCATGCGGAACAACGAGCGGCGCATGTCAACCATCTCCCACGCCAAAAAGAGCGCAAACCACGTTAGGCAGGCGAACGTTGTAGCACGGGCGCGGAACACGACGTCGCAGGTCTCGTTGTAGCTCCCGTTGCAGTTCTCCCCAAGCCGTCCGTCGCCGAAGCCGTAGACGACAAGCGAGAAGCTGGAGAGGCAGAGGGCCGTGATCCACAGGCCATAGACGACCATGTCGACCAGGAACTCGGCGGTGAAGATGCCCGTCTTCAGTGACTGGGGCGGGCGGCGCATGATGTCGGGGACCGCCCGCTCGAAGCCGAGGCCCATGTCGGGCATGCCTGAGGTCGCCATGATGATCCAGACGATTTCGACGGGCGCGAGCGGGAAGACGGACAGCCCCCTCGCGTCCTTGAAGGTGAGCCCGACGAGTAGGGTTCCAGCCTGGGCAATGTTCTCCGCGAGGACGTGGAGCACGAACTTTTGGATGTTGTCAAAGATCCGCCGACCCTCCTCGATGGCGGCAACTATGGAGGCAAAATTGTCGTCGGTAAGGACGATATCCGAAGCGTCCTTGGCGACATCGGATCCTGACTGTCCCATGGCAATGCCGACGTCGGCGCGACGGAGGGAGGGGGAGTCGTTGACGCCGTCGCCAGTCTTGATATTCTGTTAGCGAGGGCCTACTAAGTAATTCATGGGCTTCACAACATACCATGGCGCAGAATCTCTTGCGTCGATGGAGGGCTTCGATCATCCGAACCTTGGTGCTGGGGGCGCATCTCGCGATGACGAGTGGGAGAACCGGAAGCCTGTCGACCTCTTCATCGGTCAGGGCATCGAACTGGGACGCCGTCATGACCATGGCGTCGGCGACGTTGCGCGCGACGCGCTCCATGCGGGACGGCAGGATGCCCACCTCGACAGCGATAGCCTTTGCGGTTTCCGGGTGGTCGCCGGTGAGCATGTGCACCGATATACCGGCTTCGTGACACTGCCGGACGGCGGGAGCGGACTCCGGGCGAGGGGGGTCGTACAGACCGACGAGGCCGCGAAAGACAAGGTCGCGCTCGACGGAGGCGCGCTCGACTTCGTCGCCCTTGACGGGCGTGCCGTTGTCGAAGGGTTTGCTCGCGAGCGCGAGCACGCGCAGGCCGCGGCCGGCGAGGGCCTCCATGTTGCGGAGGATCTCCTCGCGGAACTCGGGCGTGACGTCGGCGAGCTCTCCCGAGTCCTTTGGGGTGAACTTTGTGCAGATCTGGATGACCCGCTCGACGGCGCCCTTTGTGTAGGCATGGTACTCGCCGGTCGGGTTGTGCTTCATTATGACGGACATGCGTTTGACATCAGAGTCGAAGGGAAGTTCGGCGATCTCGCTCCATTCAGGTGTCTCGCCCGTGGTCAGATGCAGACGGTTCCAGCCGAAGCGTGATGCAAAGACTTGGATGGCAATCTCTGTCGGGTCGCCGCGCGCAACCCACTGATCCCCCTTCTTGCTGATCGTGGCAAGGTTGGCGAGGGAGACGACCTGAAGAAAGGCGGCAAGGGCTGCCTTGCTGTTATTCAACAGCTGCTCGGTCTGGACAATCGACCCGCACGCGTCGCCGCCTTTCTTGAAGTTGAGGTGTCGCGGGAACCGCTCGTCGAAGCGGATGTCGCCGGTGGTAGGGTCCAGGGGCGACGTCGCGTTCTCGACCGTGTAGGTGCCCATGCCGGGCAGCCAGGCGCCGCGGGCCAGCATCTTGCCCTGGGTCAGGGTGCCGGTCTTGTCGGAGCAGATGTCGGTGACGGCGCCTAGGGCCTCGAGGGACTTGAGATTGCGGACTATGACGTTGCGCTTGACCATGCGTTTAGTGCCGGCGGCCATGGTGATGGTGAGGACAACGACAAGGCTGGCCGGGATCATGGACAGGCCGGTGGCAACGGCGTAGATTATGACCTCCTGCGACGCCTCGAACTTGTTGGCGCCGAGGACGATGATGGCGCAGACGATGGCGATGCCGAAGAGGAGCATGGCGAGTTTTGAGAGCTTCCGCTGCAGCGGGGTGCCAACGTTCACACCCAGGAACCGGCCGACAGCGTCAGTAAAGGTCAGCGTATAAGCCTCGAGGTAGCGGTGCGGCTTCGCGCGTCCGTCAGGCTTGCGCTTGACCTCGCGCACCTTGGAGTCCTTCTTGCGCAGGGCTGACGCGATGGCGCCGATCTCGGTGTAGACGCCGGTGGCGAAGACAATACCTTTCGCGCGGCCCTTTGTGACGTTGGAGGAGCTGTACGCGACATTGAGGCGGTCTCCTGGGCCGGTATTGTGTGGGAACGTGCTACCCTCATTCTTCCGAACGGGGAGAGACTCGCCGGTCAACAGAGCCTCGTCGGTCTCGAAGTTGACGGCCTCGATCAGCCTGTAAATATCATTAGTCGCTTTGCTTTCGGTCTCGAAGGGGGGCTGTCGATGACATATCATACCTGACGTCTGCGGGGATGGTGTCACCCGTCTTGATCTCGACCAGGTCGCCGGGGACGATGTCGCCGGACGGCACGACCATTGCTTCGCCGTCGCGAACGACGCTGGCGGTCGGAGAGCTCAGAGAGCGGAGCGAATCCATCGTCTTCTCGGCGGAAAACTCCTGGAAGAAGCCGACGACGACGTTAAGGAGGATGACAAAGGTGATGACACCGCCCTCAATCCACGAACCGATGCCGAAACTGACGGCCATAGCCAAGATGAGGACCTGGGAGGGGTGTTAGCGAGGGAGACGCGAGGAGACACCGGTAAATCAAGGACTCTCACCATGGTCATTGCATTGGCGACTTGGGCGACCACAATCTTGAAAGGCTGGACGCCGTCCGCCTCGCCGAGGTCATTGCGACCGTACTCGTCGAGGCGCGCCTTGGCATCAGCGGCGGAGAGGCCGTGGTCGGTGTCGGCCCGGAGCTCCTCGGAGAGCTGCTGGTAGCTCAAGGCATGGGCCGGCTGGGAGAGGGGCTTGTTGGACTGTCCCGAGACGTGAGTGTCGGCGGGCTTTGCTGCCTTGGATCTTGCCATACTGAGAGAGTTGAAGTCAAGGTTAACAAAAGGGTATGAATGATGGATGGCGAAACGGTTAAGCAATGTTAGCACACTGCTCACACGGACACGACGGGGTATGTATCACCGCCAAGACGCTGGAGGACAACTCAGCAAGGACTGGTCAAGGTGGCGACGCAGAGGCAAGTAGTGAATTGGCGTATCATTGCACAGAGTGCAACCATCATGTTACGAAAAGGGAAGATTGTCTCACGATGGACGGGGGCATCGCTTCATCTTGAGCCAGTTGAGAAGCAGACACCGAACGGCGGGAAAGCTTTCCCGTTTTGTCTACGACCCAAAGCTGTCGCTTGATGCAACGGTATCTGCGAATATTTTCTTACTGGTGCAGACGGTTGTGATGGATCCATCTATTGAGCATTAGGACCATCTTAGCCTTCTTGGCCCAGCTTGGCGACCATGATGCTGGTTGAGCCCCTGGTGCGCGGAAGAAGGCCAGAAGACGACGAGGACCGATCTTGGGAAGCAAAAGGAAGACGACGACGCGGAAGGAGAGGAAGATAATGTATAGAACAATCACATAGATTGTCAAGTCCGCCTGCCGTTCCATGGGAAACGGGCATGGGGAGGCAGTAGACCGGACCGGGACCGATGCAAAGTGGGTGAACGGATGGAGGGGCTGGAAAAGAGCCAGGATGCCGATCTCTCCACCGCCCCCCCCAGCGGCGGACTGCAACTAGTGAACAAGCCGCTGACGAGGGTCTGCAGGAGTGCCGGGTAGGTATGTAAGCGTCGGAGAGGTCGGAGGAAACCGGGTTTAACAGGTATCCGAATTGGTGCTTTGCCATAGCCTGGTTGTAGGTATCGCGAGCGTTCCTTATGACTCCATCTCTTGAATAGGGGTAACCTTAGTTAAGCATTCTGACAGCAACCAACAATGCATTGGAACCGTATAAGTCCAGACCGGCGCAGCATATATAAATGGTATGGTGGGAATACGGCACGCCTGCAGCACCTAAGGAAGCATGTTGATCCCTATGACATAAGTCAAACTACCCACTTTCCGCCCACCCCTGCATTCCGCCCACCCAGAAAATGCCGCCCAGCCACCCACTTTCTAGATAGCCTCAATTTTCAAAGTGCCACAACATTTTCCATTTTTCTCCAAATCACTTCATTTTTTCAGAATACCTTCCTTATTACCTAATAACTAAATATACTAAAATTAAGATTAATTAGGCACTTGCTGCTATTATAAAGGGTATATCTCTTTGTAATGCCTCTAAGCGATAGGGTATACTATAATTAACACTTTAAGACTAGAAGAACGGCACCTAAAAGAGGGCTGCTGCCTTTAAAGACCTCTAGTAACTATCTTATGCCTAGGAGGCCAGCCTAGCTAGTTAGGTGTAAAATCAGGCTAATCTTAGGCTTCTTTTAACCTATTAATAACTAAGGGATTTTACTTAGTGCATCCTCTAAGCTATAGGAGATACCTAACCTCTAGGAAGGCAATAGGTAAATACCTTCCTATAAAGGTATCTATCTATTAAGGTCTAAAGAAGTTACTTTATTAATTCTAGGCATATTAATAAGGTATTTACTAAGGTTATTAGGAATTAGTTTAAATATCTTACTATACCTTATATTACTACTATTAACCTAGCTAATAGATATAATATAGATAAGACTAGTATCCTTAAGGGTAAAAAGGATAATAGCCTAGTGCTAGGTAGGGCTACTATAAGGGTAGTAAGGAAAAAGCAGCCTAGATTATAAGCCTAGGTATTTATTATTAAGTATATATTTACTAAAGGTAATACTATTTATCCTTTAGTTATATATAAAAGTAAAAAGGTCTAGTAGTAGTAGTTCTTTTTAGATTTTAATTTATATAAGGGATAAAAATTTATAGTAATAAAGAATAAGTAGACTACTAATAATACTACTATTAAGTAGCTATAAAGGGTTTTTCTCCCTTAGACTAAGCCTTTTTAACCTTATAAGGCTAAACTACTTATCTTAAATAGGTATAAAAGCTATATAATAATAAAGTTTATATAGTTATACTATACTAATAATATCTATCTTTTATTCTTATTACTATATACCTTTTATATCCTTTAGCCTCTTAATTAAGTAGTCTTTAGTCTTATAAAAGTAGCCTATTATAAGAAGCTTAAATACCTTATATAGTAAAATAATTTAACTATTATTAGTAAGAGGTTATTTATATCTTACTACTATAAGGCTTACTAGGCTAGGCTAACTACTAGTAATATTAAAAGTAGCTAGAAATACACTAGGTTATAGCTAGTTACTATTACTAAGCCTCTAATAAGCTCCTATCTATTACTAAATATATTAACACTATTAATACTATTAACACTAATTAATAAGAAAGTAAAAGGGGCTTATAATACTTATACTAGCTAGGACTTTAAGGAATATTTATCTGCTGTTAAGTAGTCTATACTAAAGAAGGTTAAAGACCTTAAGGATTAATTATACCTATTTAGCTAACTAAAGTAAAACATTACTACATAACGCTAGCTCTTTAGAAAGGTTAAAAAAGGCTTCTAGTAGTAGTCCTTTTAATTAGCTACTGCCTATTATTAAATAAAGCTTCTACAGGCTAAAATTAATAACAGTATAGCAAAGAAAAAAAAGGCTGTTTATCTAGATCTAAATATTAAATTTATAATAATTAGAGATATACAGAAGGCATAAATTAAGGTTAGTAAGGCTAAAAGTAATACAGCTAAATCTAGCGCATCAGAATTACCTAGTAAGGCCAAAAGCTATATTATTATAGCTTCAAGAGGTAGTTAATAGTTATTTGAATAAAGTGGTGTTGGTTGTGATGGCTTCGATTTTGGGTGGGCGGAATGCAGGGGTGGGCGGAAAGTGGGTAGTTTGACTTATAGCATGTTACCACCAGAGAGCATATGGCGATACAGTTGATAGGTGCTGTATGAAGCTTTTGTGACACTTTCCCTCTCCGGATGTCAACAATAGCAAGTGAGGAATGCGAACGCCTAAGCAGAGACCCATGATTAAAGCATATTGTGCGCCTCGTTTGCATCGTAGACTTCCATTCTCAAAGCTGGGAGATGTTAGAACCGTAGCACAAGACTTAAAGGGGTTGCAGACTGAAGTGGACACGAAGCCTCCTACGGTCCGCCATAAGTACAGACCACAGATGTAAATCAGAAACTGATGGGGCGCCGTGGTGATGCCGGTAAAGCTGGGGAAGTAGATGTCTACAGTGGAGACATGGGTATAAGGCAAAAGAGTTAAATGGATAGTAGTGAACGATGTTTCAGCAGGCTAGGAAGTAGATCCGAGTCACTATACCTACTATTGAGGGAGCCTCTCCATTCGTCACATTCAACTGTTCACCAGAAACCGCATTACTCTTGACAAGAAGAAGCAAACAAGTCATACAGAGCTACCGTGGTTAGATAGTAATTTTACTTCGCCAACCTTACACGCCCCGTATGATTTCAGGAACTAGCCAGCATCCCATCGTATTATAACCGTGTGTCCTCTTTCATCACCACTAACCGACTCTATATATTTGGAGTTCTCGATGTTATAGATGCAGACAATGGCGGGGCCGGAGTCCAAGGCTAGCCGCAGAAAGTCTGTTTCTGAGTCTGGTGTATACTCCTCCAGGTCTGTAAGTGGGAGCCATTCAAAGCTAGAACATAGCTGGCCGACCTGTAGATAGGTAAGTTGGCGGTTGTAGTTCGTATTCACAGGAGCTACCTATTTCTTTTTTCGCACCTCTTTCTGAGTCTTTCGGACGGCGAAGTGTTCGTCCGAATCTTTTTCATTCCATCGATCGTCCGAAAGGTATTGTAGGCCTGTTGCTGATGTCTCGATAGTCGCACGTAGTCTTATTTGGAGGGCGTTTCAACTAGCATAGGGCACCTTTGTAGCAAGAGGTCAGAAGTCATGTCCAAAGGTTATCACATTCAGCATACTTACCTTCAAATAAACGATTACAGCAGGCGCGCTCTTTGATGTAGACGGCATAAAGCTAGACAAATATGAAGCTGACTGGCCCACGATTCATGCCCAAGCAGTGTGTCACATGGAATAGATAAACTTAGGGCCGTTAACTGAGGCTTACGCTTTCTACCCATTCCATCTTTTCCATCCTTTCCACCTTTTCCATCCTTTCCACCTTTTCCATCCTTTCCACCTTTTCCATCCTTTACACCTTTTCCATCCTTTCCACCTTTTCCATCCTTTACACCTTTTCCACCCTTTTTACTACCTACTAAGTGATTGGTGTGGGAGTGAAAACTCAGTAGTGTCATGTATGGAGGGGTGGGAGTTTAGGGAGGATAGATGGATAGATTAGAGAATAGGCGATATAATAGGTGGAATGGTCAGTGAGGGGATGGTTGAATGAGTGGGAAAGTGAGTGGGAGAAATGATAGGACTCTCATGATGTGTATTGGCTATGGAAGGTCGGCCAGGAGTTGATTACATGCTCACTTGTTGGCGTGGGCTAGCAAGCAATGATGAAGCAGTGAATGTGAGCATGCCTCATCCGTGGATAAAAGGATAGCGTGTCCGGACGCAAGACTCTCAGTCTCTCTTAACAGTCTGTGTTATCACCAGCTGACATTCAATCAATTCCACAAGACTATACAATAAGAGTCCATCTTGCCAAATTTCGTCCCGTGTCTGTCATGCCTCCGCCAACGTTCCAGGATTTCGTCGGTAGAATCCGTTCCGTGCTGTCAAGTGCTCAAGGCTCCAGCTTCCAGGTTCTTTGTACAGTATCACCCAGCTGCATAATCCATGATGACAGTCTTGTCACCATCCTCCAGAACGCGGTCAAGCAGTGCAACATCTTCATGCTGTTCTCTCTCAACCCAGCGATTGCCCAATTTGCGGACGGCTTCGTAAAGTCTGTCGGGAAAGGCGGCGTCGTAGGCGGCGAAGTCAATCTTTTGCTCGTGGTTGACCAGCCAGTAAAGAAGATGGATGATGTCGCGAACATCATTGAGGTGCTTGGCAATGGACTGCGGAGGGGTCCTACCAATGTACAGGGTGCAGCGTTTAATCTTCGTCAGGATCAATACACCGGGCAGCAGAATCGGGACAGATGCTGTAATTCAACGTTAGAGGCCATTTTGTTGGATGGAGACAATTAATCAAACTCACCGTCGCCAGGGCAAATGACAGGAAGCTGTCGGGGGAGATTGAGAGCACCGCGCGCTAGAGTCTCGACCGGAACGCGCAATTGCCCGTTTCCAACTAGGACGAAGAAAAGCTTCATGTGAGAAACAACAAAGCGAGAGTCCGCATCGCGTAAAACTCTGGTAACAAGACTGCGCATCTCCTGTGCATTATCAATGCCGATCTCGACATCAATGTCAATAGTCGAGCGCTCATGGCCAAGCATGCGCAACGCAAATCCTCCAATGAAAGCATGCTCAATTTGGTTCTCTCCGAGAATCCTGGAGACGCAGGCAGCAGCTTGCTTCATGGTATCGACGGATGGCGCCATGATGATTGCGTTTTGATATTCGACTGTTGAGTTGTTGAGGGGGAGAAATATCCATAGCAGGCAAACGCGAGGGGGGTGATGGAGGGAAGGAATGAGATTATTTCTTTCATCCCAATGTAGAGGGAAGGATCAAATGGATATCACAGCAGCGTAGAGGGAAGGAACGGAAAGATTTCATGGCAACGTAGAGGGAAGGGACGAAAAGGTCTCATCGCACGTATAGGGTAGGGACGAAAAGATTTCACAGCACGTGGAGGGAAGGAACGAAAAGATTTCACAGCAACGTAGAGGGAAGGAACAAAAAGCCTTGACGTTACCACGGGTTGCAAAAAGAAGGTGCACATTTTAGCTGTTAGCTATTATAGACGTCCAGGAGCAAAAGTTACAGCAAGAGACTATGAACAAGTGGGTGGACCAAATGCCCCGGCCACTTGAAGAGACTGTCGCAAGAGAGGGCAAAATGACGTAATTCTAATAAATAATGTTATGGGCATTCAAAACCGCTTATTTGTATGGTAATGCGTGGATTTTCATGCTTCTATCCATAGGCGTAGGGAAAGGAGGTTTCGTACCTTGGTTTCCTCAACCATGAGAGGAATGTTTTGTTTCGGCATCGAGAATAATGCCAGTACATTCAATCACGTCCTGAAATTGAGCTTCAAGTTCAGATGTGGCCAATTGACTATTTCCATTGTGCTGCCTCATTACTGGGTAAGTCATCATATCGTAGCTTGCCAGAAACCAACTGAATAAGCGTTTCTCTGTTCCAGTCTTCGTTCTTCCTGAAATGCCAATCTCTAATATTGTTGAGAGCATCCGTCATCTCCAAAGCCTCCTTCTCCGCCAATGCTGCAGCATCTTTATCGTTCTCTCGGGAATCATCAGCCTCGTCAACGTCATCTTCTGGAAGTTGCAAGTAGTCCCCCTCGTAGCTCATGTCCAACATGCTGTAAGCAATGACACTCGAAAGATCTGAAATTGCCATGTCCCGAAATTCGCTCTCTATGCTCTCTTGAGTGATGATACGCAGGTAGGCGGCGCAAAAAGCAGGCAAAGACACAGTCCAGATGGTGCAGGGAAGAGGCCTTTAGGTTGTTTCGATGATGGATAGGTCGTCTTCTTCAATACCTGTCCAGGAAAGAGGCACGAGAATGACTCGGGACATTGGATTGCCGTAGACATAGCGATAGCCTTGATTCGCAAACTCCGAGAGGTACGCGACCGGAAAGTCGTCGTTTTTAGCCAGTTTCAAGCCGCTGACTGTGGCAATATTGTTTGCTTCTTGAGGCTGATGGTCTGGGACCAAGAATATTAAGTCCTGGATTCGAAGTCAGTAAGAGGCTATGACCGGGTCAGGATCCTGGTAACTTACCGATGTGGGCGCAAGCGGATAGCCCAAACGGCGAAGGAGAGGAGTTTCCCATTCTACAATAGTGATGTTTGAAGCTTCAAAACCCTCCAGCGTTCTGAGAACTTGATGATCTGTAGCAGACAGCATAATGAGACTGGGACAGCATATCAAGCTGTACTGGATGTATATGTGTTGTGTCGAAGTAGAAGTAAGTAATTGAGACGCAGAGTGAGGTCTACAAAACAGGCTAGAAGACAGAAAGGTGGTGGGGCCACGCAGGGACTGAGTTGTGTTTTAGTCTGGACTGGGCGTCCGCACGGCCGAAATGGGTCAAGTGACGGATAAATGTCGGTGGACTTTTGGGATGGATTTCGCCACCTAGAATGGGGAAATCTGATGGCACATGCATTTTGCCGAGAGTGTTGAAGGGGTCGAAAGGTGGAAGGGATGTAAGAGAATGAAAAGCGAAATCCTATCTGTCTCTTTCTTTTCAGAAGCAAGAGAAGTGCAGGGACTTAAGGTAGGTGACGGGGCATGCGCGTATCTCGGCTCTGTGTGCTATGGACGAGAAAGTAGAACAAGGAGAACAGATAATAATGATGATGATGATATTATTTAAACGCCCAACAGGTCCAGACTACGTGGCACAAGGCGCCCGCTGCTAATCTATCTTTTCTACTAAGGCCCAAGACCCCTCTGCAAGGGGGTCTTAGGCAAAATAATGTCCCCACTAGACAGTGTAAATCCACTATTATAAGCCTAAAAATCAGTATTTCTCTCCTAAAGATATATCTAAAGTTATAAGCACTAGGTAATAACTATATAGAGACGTTACTTACTTTAGTAAAAGGAGGGTAACAGTAGGTGTTTTAGGTTGTAAGGGTAAGTATATATTATAAGGTAAAAGCGTCTTATATAGTAAAGTAAGATAAGAAGTATATATAATATATAAGATATAAAAAGGGGTAGTATATATATAAGGGAGGACCTTATCTAGCTAATAGTTAGAAGTAACTTATAATAGTACTAAATTAAATTAAGAGGTAACCTTTAGCTAAAGATAGCTATAAGGTTATATACTACTAAGTCTTTTTATAAAGTTAACTAAAAAAGGTAGTAGGCTTATCTTACTATTTACTAGGGGCCTAAGTAGATATATTATTTTTTAGTATAGTCTTAATAAAGGCTACTTAATTTTTACTAATCTATATATATATACTAAACTAAAGTAACTTAGGCTTAGTATAGTAGTAGTAAATTAAATACTTTAGGCTTTTTAGTAACCTATAGTAATAGTAACGTTTAGTAGTAAGGTAAGTAAAGTAGTTATAATAGGCTATAAAATCCCTATAGCCTATATAGGCTATAAGGAGGTAGTAAAGTTCCTTATAAGGGAGGTAAAGCTTTAGTGTAAGCTTAAGAGAGGTGTTAAGGATCTAAAGGCTAGTATCTAAGTAGTAAGAGGGGTATATAAAGCGCTACTACTAAGAGAAAGTAAGGTAATATTAAAGTAGACCTAGCAGTTAATATAGCTAATAGTAAGAAAGTAGAAGTCTAGGTCTAAGGGGTATATAGTTAAGCTATACTTAGTAAGATAGTCTACTATATTATTACTATAGATATTTATATACCCTAAGGACTAGTAGACGTCTATAGAAATTAAGCTAAGGCTAACTAGGCGCTAAAACTTAAGGAATACTAACTATAAGGAATTAGGGGGGGCACTATTAAGGTACTAAATAACTATATAGTTATCTAGGTAAACTAAAATACCTATAGTATTAAGTAAAGCTAATATAACCTTTAGTGTAGCTATAAGCCTAGTAGTAGCCCCTTTAGCTTTAGTATTATATACTTTAGCGTTTAGTAGTCTATAATATTTAGTATAAACTAAGGTGTTACTATAGTAGATTATATAGCTATATTTAGTATTAATCTCTAATATCTATAAGCTATTTATATAGGCTAGGATATAAGTAGGAGGGAGGGAGTTAACCTAGGTTTGGTGTAAAGTAGCTACCTTTTTCTTAGCTTACTTAGTCTATTACTTAGTAAGGTAAAGTCCTAAGTAGAGTAGTAGTTATAAGAATTTAAGTAGTAAGCTAGTAGCGTCTATAAAGATAATAAGCTAGAGGGTAATACCTCTAAAGCTTTAGATATTATAAGTTATAGTACGTTAAGTAAGTAAGTAATATAAGTTAAAAGTCCTTAGTTAGAAAAAGTAGTAAAGTTAGTAAGTATTTAGTAAAAGCTTAACTAGTAAGGTACTAAATTCTTAATAGAGAGCAGCTAGTAGTGTAGTCTACTATACTAAAAGGCTTCTATAAATACCTATATTAATAGCTACTTAGAGCTTTAATAACTAGTCTTTTAGGCTATACTAGACCTAAATAAAGCTACTATTAGCCTTTTTAGTAGCTACCTTATCTAGGCCTAGATACTAAATCTTTACTATATATAAAGCCTTTAGTATAATAATTATATAAAGCACTTTTTATATAGCAGCTAAGGGGGCGCCTCTATAGACCTTATTAAGGCCCCTTAGGTGTCTTACTACTAACTATACCTTAGTAGTATAGGTCTTAATATAGGACTTATATAAGAAGAAGTAGTTAAGCTAGATTTTAAGCTATCTTATAGTTAGCTTAGGAGTAATATACTTATACTTATACCTTATAGATATAAGGGGGTCTTTATTAAGTTAGTAGCTAAAGTGTATAACTTTAGTTTTAGTAAGGTTAAAAGTAATACCTTAGTAAGCACTATACTTAAGTGTCTTATTAAGGATAGCCTAAGCTACTACTATTATTTATTATAATATTTTACTTATATATAAGATACTATAGTTATTAGTATACCTAAACTAAGTAGTAGTAAGGCTTATTATATAAATAGGGGTAATATAAAGGAGGTAAAGAATAAAAAAAATAAGGAGCCTTATAAGAGGCTATATATAAGTAAGGCTATTAAGGTCTATATTTCTTTATAGTAAATATAGGCTTAGTATAGGCTAGTAAAGTGCTAGACCTATTTAATAAGGTTAGGGGGCTAGCCTTACTTTTAGAGTTAGAGGTTTAGTACGTCTAGTAAAGTAGTATTAAAAGCACCTTAGATATTATATATAACTAAGGTAGTAACTTCCTTATAAGTAAATACTACCTTTATATTATATATAAAAGTAGCTATAATATTAATAGTAAAGCAGTTTAGAAGGGTGTTAGTAACCTAAAGATATAAAACCCCTTATTAGATATATATTTAAGCTAGCCTTTAGGCTATAAGTTACTTAAGACCCTTACTAAAAGTAAAAAGTAGTAAGATAGGCCTTTATCTTTTTATAGTACTTATATTATAGTTAGGTTTAGGGATTATAACTATTTCTACTTATTAGAAGAAAAAAAAGTAGTACGTTATTTCTAGGTAGCTTAAGTATAAGTAGGTAATATAGTGTTATAAGTATAGCTACGCTGCCTTAAGTATAGTAACTATAATTCTATTAGCTCTAGGGGAGGTGTTACTTACTCCTAGTAGGGTAGTGTAGGCCTCTTCTAGGTTAATAGTGTTAGACTATAGGGGGGTCTTATAGGGGATAGTAGGTGTAATAAAGCTAAGGTTATTTATTAAGACGTTCCTCTTAAGGAGGCGTAATTAAAGAAATAGTACTTTCTCTAATAGGCTAGTAATAAAGGACTTATTATTACTTTATAGTAGTAAGGAGATAAATTAAGTAGAGGGTTTATTTTAGTCTATTATATAGTATAAGTCTTTATTTATCTATATGTTATAAATCTATATTTACTATATTTTAGCCTTAGCTATCTTAATAGTTAATAGAAATAGTTAGTAGGCGTACTTAGTGTCTAAGGAGGTAAGGTCTTTATTATATAATAGAATATCTATTCTTTAGCTAATTTACTATTACTTAGTTAGGCTAATAGCTATAGATTATACTAGCTATTTACTAACTAAAAGGTAAATAATTAGCTAATAATTCCTTACTAAAAGGCTAATAATTATCTAGGAATTCCTAGATATTTATCTTACTATTATTAAGTATTAAGGACTAAGAATTAATTATGTTATAGCTAGAGGGGTTACATAGGGGATATACAGACAGGAATAAGGTTATAGCGTAGTTTAGTAGCTAGTGTACACTACGCCTTAGTAGTAAGTGCGCTATAGCTATAGTAGTTAGTACACTACGCCTTAGTAGTAAGTGCGCTATAGCTATAGTAGTTAGTACACTACGCCTTAGTAGCTAAGGCCCTAAGCCTTAGTAGTTAGTACACCTATACCCTAGTAGCTAGTAAACCCTATAGCACTAAAGGACCTACTAAAGGGCAGGGGATAAGAACCCCTAGTTATAAGAACTATTAGGTAACTTATAAATAAAATAAATAGCTATATAATAGCTAGTAGGACTACTAGCCCTCTAAAGTAGATTTTTTTCTTTTTTACTTTTAAATTCTTATAATAAGAAATATAGTTATATATCTAACTAATATAGTATTACTACTATAACACTATTTAAAGGTTACCTTTACTTTCTCTAGAGATAAAAGTATAATATCTTAAACCTTTTTTTCTTTACTAGACCTTAGCTTAGCCTCTCCCTCTTATTTCTTTATTCTAAGCTTAGTTATATATTAGCTAATACTACTTTTAAACTCCTTTATATTTTCCCCTTATTACTAAGATAGCCTAATCTACTAGTAAAAGTAGCCTTTTAGTATTTAATACTAAATTAATAACCCTTACTTAAAACCTTACCTCTAATTAATAAAGCACCTTTTTTTTAGATAATAAAGCTAAAGACCTATAGGAATTTAACCTTATACTTTACCTTTAAGAATTAAGCCCTAAATAATTCCTTACTAATACTAACTAAACTACTTATAGTAAATACTTATAGTGCTATATTAATAGCCTACTTATACTTATTTAAGTTACTAACTAGTCTTTATTTAGTAATAAGAAAAAAAAAAGTTTACTAAAGAAGTATTTAAGGCCTTATATAAAGAAGATCTAGCTAATTTATATAGTTAGGTATACTACTAACTTACCTTATATTATACTTAGTAAAACCTAAAGCTTAAATTAAGCTTTATTATAGGCTACTATACTAATAACTTTAAATAACTTTATAT